AATAAACAGTCTTGCCTGATAGATGTCGCTGTTATCCCAAAATTCCAAACTGGATCAGACCAATGTCTACTTCATGCATAATTCTACTTCACGGAGCGATGAGAAAGGGCTGCAAAGTAAGAAGAGAACTCCCAGAACACCACCAACTGGGAGTTCTTTGGCACTATTGTGGCATCATGGGAAGATGCCATCGTTGACAACATTAACGAGGATCGACTAGTTCAGCACCTTCATGATTGTGCGAAGAACGCCAAGATAGAGATAGCCACAAAAGGATGCCTGTCTTCGAAAACTCTCAAGCTCATTCACCAACATGGCTCCGCGCAAGCCTCAGGCAACCGCAAGCAAACGTCCGAGCTTGCAAAGCAGTGCAGAGAAGCGATAAAGGAAGACCTCAAAGAGAGAAGAGCATCAGTGCTGGCAGATGTGGCAGAAGCCAGGTAAAGCATTTGCAACACCCGCTTGTCCTTCGCCAACTATAAGACCAAGATGACTGTCCTCCGATGTCCTGATGGATCTATCACATCTTCCAGAAGGGCAATGGAGAGGATTATCCATGACTTCTACTCGGATCTCTTCAATAGCCACGTCCACTTGCCCACATATCAAATTCTGCAGGATGGATATGTCGTTCCCAAAGTTCTCCCTTCCGAAATCTGATAAGCCATTTCGTCGGTAAAGAAGGGAACAGCACCTGGCCCAGACAAGGTCAGATATGAACACCTGAAGAACCTGCCATCAGTACTCATCAACATACTGACTTGTCTATTCACACACTACCTGTCTGAATGCAAGATTCCATCCCAATGGAAAACCAGCAGGACTGTACAAGAAGCGAGATATCCACTTCGTTGGCAACTATTGCCTGATATGCCTGTTGTCTGTCATCTACAAACTGTTCACTCGAGTCATCCTAAATAGGATTGGCAGAACACTAGATGAAGGACAATCATGCAAGCAAGCCAGTTTCTGAAAAGGATTTAGCACAATCTACCATATCCACATGATAACCAAGCTCATTGATGTTTCTCGGGAGATCAAGATGCCTCTCTGTCTAACATCCATTGATTAAAAGAAGGCCTTCGATACTGTTGAGACTGAAGTGGTCATCGAAGCCTTACCCAAACAGGTCATTCACACTCAGTACATCAGGATCCTCCGTGAGCTGAACTGCGAATTCACTACCAGGATCTCACCATTCTACAGGGAGGTGATCATTGATGTAAAGAGAGGGGTTTGACAAGGTGATATCATTCACTGAAAATCTTCAGTACCACCCTCGAGAACATCATGTGATGACTGGAATGGGAAGGAACGGGAGTGAACATAGACCATCGGCAACTACACCACCTCTGCTTCGCTGATGACATCATTCTAATAACAGCAAACATCAGCCAAGCGGCACAAATGCATGCCAACTTCGACTGTGAGTGTGGAAAGGTCGGACTACAGCTGAATCTCACAAAAACATTGTTTATGAGAAACAGTCTTGTTCCTGACGTTCCATTCACTCTCAACGGGACAAACATCTCCGAATGCAACAGTTATGTGTACCTAGGTCAAGAAGTCAACATGACGAATGACCTGGCACCCGAGTTGCGCAGGAGGAAAAGAGTGGCTTGGAACGCCTTCAAGAACATCGAAGAAATAGCTAAGAGGATGAAGAACCTCTGGCTCCGGGCATATCTCTCTGACTCCACTGTTCTTCCTGCATTAACGTATATCTCAGAGACCTGGGCCCTAAGAAAACAGGATGAGAACGCTATTTGGGTCTCCCAAAGAGTAACTGAAAGAGCTATGCTTGGAGTATCACGCTTCACTCAAATGAGAGAAAGAATTCGGAGTTCTGACCTCCGTCTACAGTCAAGAAGCAGGGACGCTGCCTCAATTGACAAATCGCCGAAAATCAGATGGGCTGGACAATTAATGAGGTTTGGAGACGACCGCTGGACTAGAGCCATTACCGACTGGATTCCACAGGACATCAAAAGATCGCGTGGCTGCCCACCTATGAGAAGGTCAGATTTTTTTCATCACGATCTGTTTGAGGCCCTTTGTGTTCCTGGACTGAGCAGATGCCATTGGGCTACATTAGCACGCGACAGGGATGAATGGAGATGTTGCTAGCACCCACTCGAGTGAATCAATGAGTAACGGGATGTCAAGTGATCAAGTGATCCCTCAGAGTGATGGTTCTGAGTCATCCTTGGCTGTGACCTAGGCTGCTTACTCAAGTCCTTGCCTTTAGCCTGCTAAATCCCTGATAAATTATAACTCTGAGATCCAATCCATCATGATTATCTTAATGATGGCCTGACAGAAAAACTTCAGCAGCACTGGGAATAGTTTTCTAGGGTGTCTCCATTAGAACAAGCTGTTTTCTAACAAATACCTGCCAGGGTTTTCCAATAGAAATTTATGTTTTCAAGATAGAAATCCTTTTCCATTTAAACAAGTTGAGAGCACTAAAAGTGAAAGAATGAGTCATGTTTTTCAGTCAGAGGGAAAGCATTCGTTTAGTTACTAAAATCTGCATTTCTGTTTGTGTGGGCAAGATGGGAAGGTCCTTGGGACATTAGGGGAAAAAAACGAACATTCTGACAGAGAGGGTGGTGCTGGTGCACTGCATGCAGGACGACCTGTTATTAATGGTATTTTAATCATAGTGGTTCAAATAAAAAAATAAAAGATATAGGAACAAAGGCATTAAGCATATAAACTGACTTATCTAATAAACATTTGATAATGTGAGATTAAAAGATGTTTCATGATCCGCTAATTGCCATAACTTTCACCATGAGAAATTGATTTAGAACAGTAAGTAAATTTATGGCTAGAGGGAAAATGTGCTTTCATAACATCAACAATGAGGATTTCTTAGGACTCATGATTTTTGGGGCTACTTTTTAGTCTTTTACAAGAAAAGTTGTAAAGCAAAGATAGTGCTTATTAATCCGTCAACTTTCACAGGGCTTTCACTCATTCATGTTTCTCTGTAAATTGACTGACTACGTGAGAATAAGTACTTTTGAGAACTTGGTATGCAGAAACTAATCTGGAGGTGCAAGGTGTGAAGATGTGTTTCAAGGCTTAGGCCTCCACTCTGACCACAAGGAAGACATTAACTTAGAAAATAAAACAATAATTGTGCTAATTGAGGGAATTCTTTGACTTTCCTCCAATTTTATTTTATATTTATATTTGTTTGTTTTTTGGGCCACACCCAGAGGTACTCAGGAATTACTCCTGGCTCTGCACTCAGGGATCACTCTTGGTGGGCTCAGGGGCCCAGGTGGGGTGACAGGGTTTATCAAACCCAGATCAACCACATGCATGGCACATGGCCTACTTTTTAAAGATCTCCAAGTAATTTTAATTCTAAACCATGCACCTAGAAGTTGTAAAAGTTGTAGAACTACGGATTTCAATCTTTCACAGATTTCTATATAATTAATGTCACGTTTTAGATCTGTACTCTGGTCACCATTTCTTTTGAGGTACAGAAGCTTCTTAGAGATACAGAGGGTGAAGTAGGTGATTCTTTTGTGACTTACGAAAAGACCCCCACAAAGGAAATCATTCTACTCTTCAGGCCTCTATCCATCAGAGCAATGTATGTACAATAATTCTGACTAAAGCAAGCTTTGTGCAGGAAATTGTCCCCTCTTCCAGGGTTCCACCCCCACTCCCCAGAAAGCACTGCTTTGATGGACAAATCAATGAACAAAACCTAGAACCACAAGATTATCAGCGTCTTCCCAGGCTTATGAAATGGGGTCACTAGAAAGGAGTTGGGTCAAGGAGATCTGGTCCACAGCAAGACTAAACTAAAAGTCAGACTGGTGAGTTATTTCTGGGAAGGCTAATAGCACATTCATGCTGAAATGTCCAGAGATTTTTTTCTGGTACTTGAAGCATGATTCATTACCAAAAACATGGCTTAAAGTTTAGGGTCTAGCTGAAATGATCCCCAGCAAAGCATCTCCATCCTTACTACCTCCCCAATGATTACAATTCATTTAAAATTATAGATAGAATAATTGCAATGAGGTAACGCAATAGAAAAAGGGAAATGAAAGGCACCACTCAAGAGTACAACAGAAAAACAAGTGGCCACTGAAACAAACTGTAGAAAAGTAATAAAACATGAATAAAATGCAGGCATTTTCCTTAAGGTCAAAATGTTCTGAGATTGAAAATCAAATGAAGTATCAGGGAAAAATGTTAAACGCTTTGAGAACATCATCAGAAAGTTACAGGTACTTTTACTATAAAGACATAAATGGCGAAAACTTAACAAAGCTAAGTCAAACTCAAATTCTTGTAGCATCATTTGGTGTTTGAAATGCAGTGGGAATATAAAATACTCAGCCAACAGTCATTGTAATCTCCCAGAATAAAAAAAAAACTGCCCCTTTTGGGGCATGCCACCAACAATATTTTGTGGTCTCTGCCTCTGTTAGACATTGTAGTGCATCTTCCCAAAAGGAATGTTGGAGTACTTACACTCCCCCTTTCCAGACGTGACTTTGGTTAAAAGTGAGGTCTCTGCAGCTATACTCGGCCAAAGGGAACTCAGTCTGGAGTGCAGGGGCTTTTACTGCTACAGATGGTTATTCTCTTAGGAGTCAGATATGGGGACTTAGATAGAGAGACCCAGGGAGAAGGTACCCAAGAACCACCAATAGCTGACAGAGGAAGATGGCAGCTGAAAGCTACAAAGTCACCAAGACTGAACTTCCTTCAGAGGCTGGTCACCAAGACTGAACTTCCTTCAGAAGCCAAGAGAAGAGAACAAAAGTACCCTCTTCCAGTCCCTCTCATTTGACTTCCACAAGACAAAGGGTTTCTTTTGCTTTGAGCCACCACCTGCTTTGTGGACCACTGTTTGGCAGCCCCAGGAAACATGTACAGAGGTTGTGTTGTTGTATGTCAGATCCTGGAGAAGTTAGTGGAGAGGGTATGTGTGCATTGGAGGGTCAAAGGCAGGGAAAACTCACCTGCAACATAATCACCAAATCCGATGGTGGTCAAGGTAATAACCACAAAGTAGATGGCATCCAGGGCACTCCAACCTTCTATATGCTTGAATATGATGGCAGGCAGTGCCACAAACAGCACACAGCCAAAAAGGATAAATATGATTGTTGAGATGATGCGGATCTTGGTCTGACTAACGTTCCATTTCTGCGGAGAAAGGGACAGAGGAGGGGAAAAGAGAAAAAAATGAATGACTGGTGTGCTGTTTAGTTTTTTGATCAAATGAGAAAATGAGCATATTGTCCTATTTTATCTTTATCTTTAAGAAATTGGGCAAATTATGAAATAATAAAGAAGATAATTAGTTCTAGTAGTGATACTACTTTGCCCTCATGGAGCTTGACAAAAAGTGAAATGCTCTCAAAAGCAAGTATCTGATGCTCAGAGAATATATTTGATATTTATACCATTGTCTTTACAAAAAACTTTTAAAGTATGTCTGTTCTACAAGCTTACAACTACCTGTGAGTCAAAAACAATCTGAAAGTGTACAAATATTGGAAATTTAACCATAAATTAGGTATTTACTTTTGATAATTGCTAAAATGATTAATTTCCTATTTTTCTTCTGCCCATGACTGCCGTTTTCCTACTATGGATTAATTGGTTGAACTCTTACACTAACAAAGTCCAGAGTGGATTCACATGACACTGGATGAATTGTTTCTCTGTTCTTCAGCCTTATAATTTTCCAGTAAGGAGCCAGAGTGAGATAGTATAGTGTGTATGACATTTTCCTTGCAGCAGGGGACCAGAGTTCAATTCCCAGCACCTCATATGGTACTCTGAGTCTGCCCGGGGAGAACCTTGGGGACAGAGCTAAGAGTATGCACTGAGTTCTGCTGGTGTGACCCCAAAACCACACAGACACAACTTGCAAACAGATGCATCAAATTTGATTTGTAGGTGATATAAGACTTCATCCCCATCAGGCTACAGCATCACATTTGATCTGTAGGTGATATAAGACTTCATCCCCATCAGGCTACAGCAGAGTTCAGTGCAGAAATCCTTTAGTCCAAGATTTCAGGGACTTGAGGTCAACTACAGTCAGAAGACAAATTGCACAATAAAACAATTTTAGAGAGACTAGAATTCCTTAACTTTTTGGCTGGCATATTGTTATGGACGTTACTGGTGCCCGCTTAAGCAAATCGATGAACAACGGGAGGACAGTGCTGCAGAGCTACAGTGCATTGTTATAGCTGTTTTATTTTATCATTATACTGTTAATCTCTTACTATTTTATTTGTAAACCAAAACATTATAGTATGGCTGTATAGAAAAGAACATAGTATGTAGGCAATATGAGGTTCAGTGCTGTCCAGTTTCAACTAATCTCTGTGGAGCTGGCAACGTATTCTTGAGTATAAACAGAGACCCCTGTCCTTAAACTTTTTCACCTCTCCAATCAGGGACCTATGAGGTATAATGTATTATGTGATATCAGTACATAGCGAAGCTTGTCTCTAGCTCTCCATCTGAGGTTAATACCAAATAGCATTGCTAGATAAACCTCAGGCTCATGAATGTTAGGTGTCAAATCCCCACCATGATTACAGATTTCAGAACTTGAAACATTTCTGAAAACTGTTGCTACCCAATATTGAGCCACTGGAAATATTCACCAGTAGATTGTGAAATATGTTTCCGGTTTGGGGATCATATACAGCAGGGCTCAGGGCTTACTCCTGGAGGTACTTAGTGGACCAACCATCTACAGTGCCAGGGATCAAGCCAGAGTCAGCCACATTTAAGGCAAATGCCTTAACATACTGTATTATGTCTACAGTCCAGAATTTGTTTTCTATACCTTTGAGAATGCAGAATGTAAAACAATCCCCCAGCACCCTGCAGGCAATTGAAAAATTGTGGAATAAACACTGAGGAATTAGGTGTAACTAAACATGCTTTATTTGCTCATTTGATTAATATAAACAGGGCACTTTTAAAATCAGTATAAATAGGTGTTAATACCTCAATGGAGAAATCTCTCTTCCATTCTGAAATAACTATGCCTCCCCATTATAAAAGCAAAATTATGAGAGCCACTTTGAACTTAAATATGAAACATATGAAGGTCCAAAACTGGAAGTATAATTTAACTCAAGGAAGCAATACCCAAACAGTTTTATTTCATTAACTTCAATAAAAAATAACTTGTTGAATATTTTGTATAAAGAGAAAACATGAATGAATAATCATTGTATTTGTGGTAGTGATAACAATAACAAACCATTTCTAACTCCACCCTCAACCACCCTTTGCTTTTCCCATAATTTCCTTTAAGAACACAAGCTTGAGATTCCAATGATATAACTATTTTTCACTTAAAATTTATACAAAGTCAGTTTATTTATTTCTAATGAACACAATACAGTCACAAACACCTTTATGTGTATATAACCTTTGGGATGAATTTATCCATCAGATAAGTTTTTATCAATGACATCCCTGATTAAGTTACATCCTCACAGATTGCATATTGTTACTTTTTTCTACAAAAATGGCTATTTAAATTCATAATGCCAATGAAAAGTAACAAAATTAATTTTTGTTTTTTTGCTTGGTTTTGGTTTTTGGACCAGACCCAGTAGTGTTCAGAGCTTAGTCAGCGCTCTGAGCTCAGGGATCACTCCTGGAGGCTTATGGGACAACATGTGGTGTCAGGGATCAAATTCTGGTTGGACAAGTGCAAGGCAAGTGCTTTATTCACTGTAATATCTTTCTAGCTTGCAAAACAAATTTTATAATTAGAATTATTGTCAGTTATTTTCTTTTGACTAATTGAGCTATACTTTGGTCAATACCATTATTTACATTGTATCATTGACAGAATATAATTTTAAGGACACAAAACTAGTTTAAGAGAATACACCTTTGAAAATGTACAACTAGAATATAAATATATGATTTTCAGATTTATGTTTTATTTCTGTATATTTGGGTATTTTCTTGTACCTTAACTAACACAGTGAGTTAAATGATGCTTTTAGTGGCACAATAAATAGTTGTGAAAAATTTCAATAACTGAATGTTGGATTGTATCTGAAAAACCTAAACAAAAATATTGACTCGGGCATCATCACACTCACAATAAATGTGTCCTCCACTTTGGCGATTCCTTTCCCAAATATGGTCCCAAGTTGATCTCCAACTCCAGCCAACAAAAACCCAAAAAGAGGGATTCCCAGTAAGGCATAGATGATGCAGAATATCTTCCCCCCTTCAGTGCGTGGTGAGATATTTCCAAAACCTAAAGAAAATAGAATTAGTTGTTTATGACTGAGAAATCACAATCACAAATCACAAATCATCCCGTTAATCGTCAATTGCCTCGAGCAGGCCCCAGGACGTCTCCTTCATCCTAGCCCTGAGATTATATTCAAGGCTCTTTACGAGAATGAGACCCATCATTGTTACTGGTATTTGGCATACTAGGTACGCCACGGGGAGTTTGCCAGACTCTGCCGTGTGGGCAGGCTACATTCGGTAGCCTGCCAGTTTGTCCAAAGTAGGAATGAGATAATAAGATATCATAATAAGATGTCGCGCGGTCGCAAATGCGGCCGCGCAGTTCCGGGAGCTGGATTTTATAGTCTCTGAGTCTTGGCCGCTGATGGGATTACACGGTGTCAGGGGGCCAGTTGGTGGGTGTGACCCCCGCCTACTGGAATTTGGGAGGATCTGGGTGGAGGATGCTCGGCCCAAATCCGAGTAGGCTTGGAGATCTCGGCCCCGGAACCCGCGTGACTTTGTCCCTCTGCCAGTACCTTCATGTGTGCGGAGAGTGGTCTCAGCATATGAGACTGAGAAATATTTTAAAATATATTATCTCAAATTTGATTCAGATCTACTCAAATGATCACAGATTTTAACAAGGTATGAATCCCTTTATATTACAGAGCCATTGGTATATTTTATTATAAAATACTCCTATCGGCAAGCATTCTAATTAACCTAGGTGATGAAAAGGGGGAGTATCACAGCAATAGAGTCACACAGGTAATCCTCATGGCAATAAAGCTTCTGTGTGATTATAGAGAAGAGAATTTCAGCTTCATTGAAGTGAATTTAAATATACTTTTTTAAGTAATATAACTTAAAGTTTAGGAACAGTTTTTACATTCTTTTCATTTAAATACTTAACTAAAGCAATAGCAAAGTGAAATCTGTTTTTAAAGTTTTGAGATTTGAAGGTTTTCTACTTTTGTACCATCTCTGTCATTCATCTCTCTTACAATTCAAGCAGCTCAACTTTTGACCTTCATCTTACCAACACAAACCATGTAGAGTGTCTATGTGAGATGTACATAGAACATCTTTGGGAAATTGCAAGACTTTTAGTGCCCCTTCAGGTGATTCTGGAATGTAAGCATCAATTTTCCTTCTTCACAAGAGTGTACATAAGCATTTTAAGAGTAATTTTTGTTGTTAATTTCTAGCTTTCAGGTAATTATAGTCAAAGAGTTTAGCCCATTGGATTTTCATTTTGGGAAACAGTGAGGGATTTTTTGTGTGGCTTTGATCTGATCACTTTTCATTGTTATTTGAATATGGTGCAGACATTCTACCTACTTGCAAAAACAGTAGGACTGCGGATGGTATCTGCTCTGGGGACATACAGAGCAGACACCATCGGCAGTCCTACTGTTTTTGCAATTCATCCCTGGTGTGGTATCATCCACCACCTCTGGTGGTGCTCAGGGATCACTTTTGGCTCATTGTTCAGAGATCACTCCTGGTGGTACTTGGAGACCAGGCAGGTGTGAGTATGGAACCCGGGTCAGCTGCATTTAAAGCAAGTGCCTACTCCTGTGCTCTCTCAAGCCTCTGAGAGTGGTTTTGCTATTTCCCCACTTTATTCAAACACCATGGTTTATAGAGTTGTTCATGATGATTTGTTACAAGCATTCAATATTCCAACACCAATACTACCACCACTGTCACCTTCCCTCCACCATTGTCTCCATTTTCCCAACCACCCCTCAAGCCTAACAGTCCAACAATAATGTATTTCTATTGCTAACAATTATACAATGCTTCCATAGAGTTAAATTCATGAAAATTGTTGCATCTCACCACGGGTACATTGTCCTTATCTGAGGGTTCACCAAGTTGTTTCACTTTCACTTTCTATACTAACGTTGTTGTCAGTTGAGATTGGTTGTTTCTATGTTGTTTCTGTATTTCTACTACAGTGATGTCAGTGTTGTAGATATTGGAGATGTGGCCGTGTGCTCCAGAAAATCTAGAATTCTTAACTGGGCAGTCCAACTGGGTTAAATTTTTAACTGGGCAGCGGCTTTGGGGTGTGGGAGCAGCTGCCAGGGCTTTGTTTGTGCAGAAGCTGGCCCGCCCACTTACAAGAGTGTCCCCCAAGGTCTCAGCTGGGAATGGGCATCCAAGAAATTTTTGCAGTTAGGAGATCTCTTTCAAGATTTGAGTCTTTGGAGCATGGCTGGTAGAGGAGCTTACATTGGCAGCAGCAAGGGGAGGTGAACACAGCTGCCAAGAGCTTCTGGAAATAGAGGCAGCTTATTTATAAGCATGTTTGTAATAATGCTCTCAAATAAGTAGCCACTCTCTATCCTTATCTGTTTAATGATTTTATACAATGTCAAAGGGCTGATAAAGTCAGTACATAAATGTGTGTTTGTATCAAATATGTGTTTGTATCAAATAAGGCATTATTTATTATTTATTTCTAATGAACACAATACAGTCACAAATGCCTTTATGTGTATATAAACTTTGGGGTGAATTTATCCCTCAGATAAATTTTTTATCAATTTTTATCAATTTTATCAATTTTTATCAATGACATTTCTCACAATGACACCCTCACAGATTGTATATTGTTACTTTTTTCTACAAAATGGCTATTTAAATTTATAATGCCAATGACAAGTAACAAAATTAATTTTTTTTGCTTGGTTTTGGTTTTTAGACCAGACCCAGTAGTGCTCAGGGCTTAGTCAGCGCTCTGAGCTCAGGGATCACTCTGGAGAATTATGGGACCACATATGGTGTCAAGGATCAAATTCTGGTTGGACAAGTGCAAGGCAAGTGCTTTATTCACTGTAATATCTTTCCAGCTTGCAAAACAAATTTTATAATTAGAATTATTGTCAGTTATTTTCTAATTTTCATGGAAGATGTGACAATTCCACTAAATTATAGTATTTTGTGAAGACATTGGGGATTTCCCCATTGGTTTAAAGTTTAAATGGAAGTGATTGCAAAAGATCTTAGTGTTAAAACCAAATAGCAATATGTTATTGCCATTCCTCTAGCTGTTCTTACTACAACATGATTCCGGGTGCACAGCTATAGCTTTGCTGTTGACCACAACTCTGGGACAGATCATTATCCACCAGTAAATCCTATGATCTACTTTATCACTTTGTAAAGACTAAGTAGAATGTCCCATAAATAGTGTTTAGGGAAGTTTATTACACTGGACATGTTCAATATATGTTATAAAAATCATTCTTATATAACAGGATTGTTAAAAGACTAGAGCTCAATAAACATATTTAGCTCTAGAGTGTGGAAATTGTTTCAAAGCCAGATTAACAGGTCATATTTGTACAACAATTGCTTTCCTCTGTATTCTGAAAGGTTCTGTCATATGGTGGCCTGTAAATCTTTACAAGGAGGAAGAGCAAGGCAGAGCACACAGAAGGCTTGCCTCATTTAATTGCATTTTGCTTTTTTGCACATTGCAGATACTGTGCTTGTTTGTTTTGACAGAGATTTTGTGGCCACTCTGCAACAAGTAAGTCTATTTTTCCAAAATTAGGTACAACTCAATTCCTGTCTTCAGGCATATTTCATTTAGGTATGCCATTCTATTTATTCACACCTGGTGGTATCCACCACTTAATAAATCACTGTATCTACTATTCACATTATGAGGTTTATATATATTAGGAGACCAAAAACTTCACATGCCTAGCTACACTGTGATACTGGCTTTATGACAGTGCCAGAACCTAGTTTCTACAGGGTTTTCCTGGAATGTCTAAGCTAGTCAGAGACTGGAAGGAGTCAAACTCAACTACTTAAATGATTCAAACAAAGAGAAAGGACGGATCTACTTTGTGCTCATGACAATGACAAACATGATGAGTACAAGCTCATTCAAGCTGGGGCAAGGTAGTTAAACAGAGTAGGTGACTGTCAACAGAGCAGGAGTTACCTTTGGGCATTACCCAACAGTCCAATCTAGAGTCTATATGGTTGCCGACTGTCTTATCAGTATTCATAGTTGTCAATTTTCCTATTAGTGTCCTTTATGACCTTTGCCCATCTTCTTGTACCCAATACAAGATTAGGGGTTGTGTTTAATTAGCACCTCTTAGGTTTTCTTTAATCTCACAGAGAAATTTGGAGGGAGGGGGAAACAGGTCTTGATTTTTAAAATAACTTTGATCTGTTTAAAACTAGTCAATTATTGTTTACAACACTACTTGGGTTTTCTTTTTTCTACTTGCTCAATTGGTGCTACCACATGCTGAGCACCATAGTGATGAGGTAAAGATTCACTCAGGGAAAGTGTAAAATTAAATTCTGTATCACGGAAATGTTAAGGGGAATAAAGGCCCTCTCAAATTTTTAGAAGTCAGGGGCTGTTTCTAAAAATTTGTTTCTAAAAAATAGATGGTCCAACATGAAACTAAATCACTCAAACCTGTCTCTCTTCTAACATCAAATAGCAGTCTTAAGAACATAGGTGTCTTGAAAAATCAACGGCGCAAAATATTTGGAGGTGGGTTCCTGAATTATTCTAGAAAACCCCACTAAGACCCAACACTAAACTTTACCAGTATCTTCTGAAATATCCTTTATTCAAAGTTCTGGAAGAAGAGATGGCAGAATAAAACTATAATTTTCTCTATAAATTTATTCACCTTATTTGTATGAGAAATATTTATTCAATTTTGACCATTTATTAACCATTATAGAGACAAAGAAGCCAAAGAGAGTCCTTTCTGAACAGAACTGAAATTCTTTAGCTGCAAAGAGTGACAGTAAATAGAAATGATGACAAGGGATAAAGAAAGAAGGACTGAGGATGAGCAATATGGCATGTTGGATGGTCATTTTTAATGGTGCCATCAGAGTTGACCTCCTGTGAAGTTGATATATGAGCACAGATTTGGAAGAGTTGATACAGAATATTTGCGGGAATGGAGAGTAGAAAGAGCTAATATTCAGGTCCTGAGCAGAATGACCAAATACATATGAGGA